GACAAGGGCAATCTTATGTCCATTCAGAAGTAAATCCCACTGAATTAAGTGGAGCTTCCTCCCAGGTAAATGGCATTAGAATTTCATCTTTAGTTCTGTGTTTTCTATCATTTCATTATTACTCAATAGTGTATCTGATCTTCCCATCAGAGGGACAAAGAGATTTGAATGTCTTTCATTTTGATTTTCCTCAAGTGTTTTCTCAGAAGCCTGGCAATTTTTGCTGTTTTTTTAGCATTCAAAATTCATGACTAGTTTCAGCTATGGAAAAATTCAGCCCTGAGAAAGTACATAGCAATTTTTTTTCTATGAAAGGGAATTAAAGTGGTTCCACGGATGACATAGAGATGCTGCTGCTGTAGTTTCTAAAGTGATGATTTATACAGTTATTTTGTTTTTGTTTAATCATACATAGCCTTGGGATCCTGAAGGACAGAGGGCAGTTCTTTTTTTAAAAAATAATAACAATAATCAAGGTACAAATGAAAAATATAGATATGCATTTTATCATTTATATACCCACAATTTTGCAAAACAGAGTAAACAGATAAAAGGAAATCATATTTGAATAAGGTTTTCTTCACAGGAACACGCAGTATCTACTGGGGCAGGTCATCTGCTATGGTAAGCAAGGCAGTTTAAGTTCAAAAACTGGTTGCAAATAACCAGTAACTTTTTAAAAATGCTTTTTTCGTTTATCTTTGGTTGGCTTCTAGAACAACTCCCTCAGGAGCAAAAGTCAAGAATGCAAAAGCCTTATTCAGTTGTTACTGGACTGGATGTATAGTAACACAGGTATAATGGAGCTGTGATGCCACATGTAATACCCTCCCCTACCCCAAGGTTGCAAGGGGACGCGGGTGACGCTGTGGTCTAAACCACTGAGCCTAGGGCTTGCCAATCGGAAGGTTGGTGGTTCGAATCCCCATGACGGGGTGAGCTCCCATTGCTCAGTCCCAGCTCCTGCCAACCTAGCAGTTCAACAGCATGTCAAAGTGCAAGTAGATAAATAGGTACAGCTGTGGCGGGAAGGTATGCACTCTGGTTTCTGTCACGGTGTTCTGTTGCGCCACAAGCGGCTGAGTCATGCTGGCCACATGACCCGGAAATCTGTCTGTGGACAAACACCAGCTCCCTCATCCTGAAAGCGAAATGAGCACCGCAACCCTATAGTTGCCTTTGACTGGACTTAATCATCCAGGGGTCCATTACCTTTACCTTTTTTTAAATAGCCTTGAACTGTAGCAAATAGGAAGCCAGTGCAGATATTTTCACAGAGGTGTCATATGCCATTGACCAAATTCCCCCATCACCAGCCTATCTACTGCATTCTTCACTAGATGAAACTAAGCCCGTATTGAGCACACGGCAACAATCCAGTCTTGAGGTCTATGTGGACTACAGTGGCAAGGGTATCCTGTTCTGTATTTAGCTGTAGCTGTGTACTAGACAAATCTGGTAAAAGGCATTCCTAGCCACAGGTTACTTGGGTCTCTAAGGGCACACACACACACAAATCCCCAAGCTACATACCTACTCCTTTAGCGGTATGGCCAACCCCATCCAAAACAGGCACTCTTCCAGTCATGGGAGCCACCTACCCACAATGTCTCCATAAAAACAAGAATCCCCCCACTTGAGATGTTCACAATCATGAACAAAGAGATGGGGGGGTCATGCAACTTTAGGGGACGGTCTAAATGTACAGCTCAACTGAGCTGCGCTCTAAGAGGGCCATAAAAGTAAAACAATATATGGAGTAATGCTCTATAATGTATAGACTCCGTCTGAAGGCAAACTAGTTTACACGTAGCAGACAACTGGAAAAAAAGAAAAGGGAGCACTTTCCACACACACACCCTCCAATGTGCCAGACTCTAAATCAGATGAAGGGACCAAATATTTGTGGGATTACGAAGGACAACGTCATTGTGCCACAAAACTATCATTACTCCTCAAGGCTGCAGTGACTGAATGGCTCTTCTTTTCATTCCAACAAGGCACTTATTTGGTAGCTGGAACAGCATTTGATTTCAGATGACTGCACTTCACATTTTCTTTGTGACTTGAGTGGACCGCTATTATCACAATAATGATTCATCCTGCTTGCTTTGTTGGAGTGCTGAAGAGTACTTGCCCGGGCTTAACATGGATATGGATCAGAAGATGAATAAAGCACACATTTCCACCACCACCACCACCACCCCATAAGAATATGGGGCACAACATAGTGCAACTTATTCTGTATTTTGTGATGAATAAAGAAAATAAACTCTCAGAGCCAGCTCAGCACTGCCTAAGAGGAGTGATGGGAACATCACTCATCCTGCCACAATAGGTTATACATAACAGAGTGAAAGATGGGGTGAAATATTTCCCCCTCTTTTATAGTTTTGTTTCACATTTTTTGGAAGTTCTGTTCATTTGGTGGCCATTATTCTCTCTCTCTCTCTCTCTCTCTCTCTCTCTCACACACACACACACACACACACACACAATTTCTGGGGTGGCTGCCATTTCTATCTCAAATGTTCAGAACAAGGCATTATGGGAAAGTAAAAAATGGTGCCCAGCAGACACCTGAGACTTTTGGTGTACCCCCTCCCTCTCTACACAAACACACACCAAACAAGCAGATAGATACTTTGCACATCATATTTAAATGAGGGAACAGTAGCACATCAACTCAAAGTTGCTCCAAACTCTTGGTCAAAGTTACAGTCAGGTTAATTCCAAAACGATATATTAACGAGAACAAACAATGCTTCATAAAGCTGTCATTTTAGGAGTAAATGAGAACACTGGTGAGGGTCTAGAAGGGTACAAGACTTCCTTCCTCTTTCTATTTTTCTAAGCAATGCCTGAATGCGGAACATTAATTTATGATCCTCTGACAACCATTCATTGTGTAGCAAAGGAAATTAAAGGAAGCTGAAAGATCACTTAGAACCCTAATTAAAGTTTCAAGCACCATTAAATCATTTTGTTCATTTGGTCCAGTGCAGACCTGTTTTGAACAGCTTTAAGCATCGGGACAAACCATGATCAAAATGCAAGGTGTTGGGTGAGAGTGGAACACTTAATATTTATCCTTTAAAAAAAGAAGGAATTGGTGGCTGCTCATAAGTACAGAACCATAATCTATGATGTTATGGCTTTCTCCTGAATCCAGCTTCAGCAGAATATTTCTCCAGGTAATCATCAAAGTTGCTAAGATGGAGTAACTGGACATTAGCACTCCTAAGAGGAGTAATGACAACAATAACAATAACAACAATAACAGTAATAATTTTATTATTTGTACCTCGCCCATCTGACTGGGCTGCCCCAGCCACTTTGGGCAGCTTCTAGCATGTAGGAAAACAGTAACAGAAATCAGAGCTGCTAAGAATAACAGAAGTTGAAAACTCTCTAACTTCCATCCAGGCAAGTAAGAAATATTATGAGAGTCCAGGGACACGTTTCTGTCAGGCAAAACACTCAAGGAAGTAGGGCTAGTGAGTAGCCATTGTTGTAGTGGGGTGGGAAGGAACTGCTGAAAAATGCTCTTGAATATTCCGTAGCTCCATTTCTGGTTGTCCTCATTAGGATTCCAAAATATTTCACAATTTTTGAAACAACAGCAACATGTACACTTGTAATCATTCACCAGAGCAAAGTCCATCTCTCCATCTGTCAGAATTCTAGCTCTTGCTGATTTCTCTAGCAATATGGTAAAGAAGGTGAAGCCAGGTGATTGAAAGCTGAAAACTGGCAATTCAAGTTTGGCTGATGATGGTTTCGTTGGAGGATGGGTCTCTGCCCGAGGGCTCTTCCAGGAATACACCTGCTACTTCTCTGTGGTTTCCAAACCACAGAAGTATCTGTAATGGGTGTTGGGAGTGGGGGAATTGGGAGCTGCTGATTCCTCCCTTGGATGTGAAAGAAACAGAGAGACGCCAATGTGAAGCAGAGCGCATTGATCCATTATATGTTTGCATCATCATCATTCGTGAAAGCAACCGAGCCCATTGTGCTCTAGTTCAACAGCTACTTTTCCTTGCCAGTGTACAGAATTCTCATTACGCCCTCATGAATAATTTATCCCCGGCATTACTTGCGCTAAGCATGAGATTATTCATGCACGCAACTCCAAAAGTAATGATGATACTTGGCGAGATGGAGCAATAACAGTATAAAGACAACTGCGCCAAAGTCATTGAAATATTGGATCTATAGATAACATGAACTGGAGTCACTAATCCAGCTGTCTTGGCAGGCTGTCTGTTTCTTTGCAGGTGAAGCTGCAAAGTTGAGGGTTGTTGTTTTTTTCCAACTAAGGGGTGCTAAAGAGCGCTTCCTGCTTCTAAAAACTGAAATGAGAAATTGAGTCTTGAGGTTCTGAAACTGACAAGACTGTATCTCAAAGCCACTTATACAATAAAACTCTGTTGACACCTATCAATAAATGAGAAGGATGAATGGTAGATTGCATCCGGATGCTGAATCCTAAGCACACTGAAGGTTGTTTCTTAAGGACTGAAATACACATTTGGTGACAGGGTTTAATAGGCATCCATGCATGCCTATCAGGCCTGTGCCCCCCATTAATTTAAAAGATATGCATTTTATTTGCTTTCATGCAATTCTTCTCTAAGATGTGCTGTGTTTGATTTCTCTGTGTGTTTTTGCACATGTTGTTTGATCCTAATTTTGTCTGCAGCTTTTGGTTTGAGAAAGGCAACAGAAAACCTGGAGAAGTCCAAATTTCTTTTTTTAAAAAAATGATATTTATTAAAGTTTCAAAGAATACAAAAACAAAAAATAAAAATACAAGAAAATACAAAATACAGAAAAAAAAATTAAGTTTTTAAGATATAACAAAAAAAAAGAAAAATAAAGAAAAACATGCAAGATAAAAACAGTTAAAAACACGTTAACTTTCCATAGCATCTCTTCCTTACACTTATTTCCCCGGACCTCCTCATACCTCCCTTTTTTGTATTCCAGTTCAGTTTGTTAGTTCAGCAAATCCTTACCATTAAGCTTTACCCATTTGTAAACCTTTTTTCATATCTCTTAAAGCATTACAGCTGGAAACCACTTAGTTTCTATCCAACATCCTTCTAAGATTCCTTAATTTTACAATATTTCTGTAAATAATCTTTAAATTTCTTCCAATCTTCTTTCACCGACTCTTCTCCCTGGTCTCGGATTCTGCCAGTCATTTCTGCCAATTCCATAAAGTCCATCACCTTCATCTGCCATTCTTCCAAAGTGGGTAGATCTTGTGTCTTCCAATACTTTGCAATGAGTATTCTTGCTGCTGTTGTAGCATACATAAAAAAAGTTCTGTCCTTCTTTGGCACCAATTGGCCGACAATGCCCAGAAGAAAGGCCTCTGGTTTCTTCAGAAAGGTATATTTAAATACCTTTTTATTTCATTATAAATCATCTCCCAGAAAGCCTTAATCCTTGGGCACGTCCACCAAAGGTGAAAGAATGTACCTTCAGTTTCTTTACATTTCCAACATTTATTATCGGGCAAATGATAGATTTTTGCAAGCTTGACTGGGGTCATGTACCACCTGTATATCATTTTCATAATATTCTCTCTTAGGGCATTACATGCCGTAAACTTCATACCTGTGGTCCATAACTGTTCCCAGTCAGCAGAAGTCCAAATTTCAAATGATGGTTGTATTTCAAATGATGGTTGTATTTTGGTACATCTGTTGCTTCTGGGAGAATTAGTTAGGTTCACATTGGAGTACAACCCAAATTTCTACCCCATCTATTACACACCCACCCAAAAAAGAGAATCCAAACCTTGAGTAAAATACAAAGGGAGTTTGACTGTTCTCTGCATCTCCATTATCAGGGACAACAGTAACTGGAGAAGTTCACAGTACAATCCTACACATGTCTGCCCAGCAATTCATGTGATCTACTCCCACAATGTGGTTATAGGTTTTCAGGGTTTTTTAAGCTGTTGTTCCCTTTTCTAATAATAACAGCTTATATATTTCCTGGTGGAGAAAAAGATACACTGTGATAATGAACAGGATAAAATATGGCGAACACATTAAATCATAATATATATATATATATATATATATATATATATATATATATATATAGTGGTACCTCGGTTTTCGAACGTAATCTGTTCCGGAAGACTGTTCGAGTTCTGAAACATCTGAAAACTGAAAACTCGATAGCCGACAGCTAGACCTCAGGATTTTGCACACAGCAGAAGCCACTTGGCATCTTCAATGTCCGAGGTGTGTTTGAAAATCGAAGCATTTACTTTTGGGTTTACAGCATTTAAAAACCGAAATGTTCATCAACAGAGACGTTTGAAAACCGAGGTACCACTGTACACACACATACACAAGTGAAGACCTGTCATTTAACGTTCACAAAGAAGCATAAAATGGAAGTACCGTATTTTTCGCCCCATAGGACGCACTTTTTCCCCTCCAAAAATGAAGGGGAAATGTGTGTGCGTCCTATGGGGCGAATGCAGGCTTTCGCTGAAGCCTGGAAAGCGAGAGGGGTCGATGCGCACCGACCCTTCTCACTCTCCAGGCTTCAGGAGAGCTGCAGCGCCAGCCCCACAAGGTCGGGGGACAGCGGGGAGGCGGAACGCCACCATCCCGCTGTCTCCCGATGTGGTTTGGAGGCTGACAGCGGGGAGACGCGTGCTTCTCCCCGCCGCCTGCCCCGCAAGCTCCGGGGACAGCTGGGAAGCGCAGCGCGTCTTCCCGCTGTCCCTGGACCTGGTCTGCAGGCGGGCGGCGGGGAGAAGAGCTCTTCTCCCCACTGCCGGCCCCACAAGCGCCTGGGGGAAAAATTTTTTTTCTTTATTTCCCCCCAAAAAACTTGGTGCGTCCTATGGACCGGTGCGTCCTATGGGGCGAAAAATACGGTATTAACAGCAATGCAATGGGCAAATAGTCATGTTTTTCTGAGCATGCTACTTTTATAAAGTGAAAATGCTTCTTTCTTTCTTCTTCTTAGACCATCCAATCTGTCATTAAGTGTGTGTTAATGCAAAACCAGGTGTGTTTGTAATATGGTAATTTTTACTATATTCGCATCCACATCTTAAAAAGAAGCACTTAATCCATTTATTTGAGTACATGAAAGGCTGTTGAAGTATGAAAATCAAATATCACATGATAGTGTTTAGAAATGCAGTAGCATTTTAAATTGGACAAGGCAACTTCAGACAAATTTCCAGGCCGCAGAGTTAGGAAAACATATATTTTGAGGGTAGGAAATTTTGTAACTATATATAAGACAGAGGGCACATAGCAGCACCCCTAGAGGAGATGATGATGATGATGATGATGATGATGATGATGACAAATGAGGAAGTGGGAGAAATGGGGTGGGTAGAGATTCAATCAGGAAAACACCATTATCCAAGAGGCTGGGTTCTATAGCCTCTCTCTGTAAAGTTTGAAATAAAAAAGGACTGTAAAAAACTTTTCTTCGTCTTTATACTTTCCTGGGCAACCAGCCGGGAGCTGCTGACAGCACCTTGACAGGCAGGGAAACTTGTTGGGACATCTTTATCCCTTCCATCCAGTTCTGAAAATCTTGCCCTGCTCCTTATTTTCTGAATGGTGACTCTTGAGCACCATGTTTGCTGCTAAGCCTATACAGTTACTTGCTGGAATAAATATCCCATTTTTTATTTCCAAGTAAGAGCCTGTGTGTATGTGTGTGTGTGAGAGAGAGAGAGAGAGAGAGAGAGCGCCAGGACACTGATCTCAAGGTGAAAAAAGAGAGGCAGAAGTCTTAAACATATAAAGGATGCTGATTTTTGGACTGTCAATTAATACTGGTGGTTTGTTAAGTGCCACAGAATGAGGGTGATGTCAGTATTATATCCAGCTCAAGCCTAAGCTATTGAGCTCTGGTCTTGATTATATTAGACCAGGTATAAGGGTTGCTATGGCAGCACTACCTGGTTTGTGATCAAATTATCTAAGTCATAACTTGTCGGGGACTGGACTGAAGAGGAGGAGTAATGTTGGAGGTCACCCCCCCCCCTTATCCTGTAGCTTCCATAGAGGAGGAAAGCAGTCTCGAATTACATCAGGGCTTTGAGGAAGGTAACAGAGAAAGGTGATCAGCAGAGTTGTGATGTGTTAGGAGAAGGAGGATGGGAGGCAAAGCAGCTAGCTGACACATCACTGGACAGCATAACTCCCAAAACGTGATGTTTGTTAAGGGTGCAAGAACAATGGGCACAGAGACAGACGCTTGTAGAGGCAGGTGCTGTAGCTAGAAGGGAAGGGGGAGGAGCTCAGTGCGAGCAACGCCATCATTGAGGAATGACTGGATTTCCTGTCTTTCACTGTGATGGCTGAATAAAATCACAAGTAAGAACTTTCTTGTTTCCTCCCTGCTTCTTGGTGCCATTGGGGACGGGAGAGGATTCCTCAAGCCTGACATAACTCTCAACTGTATTGCAAATCAAGCTTCCATTTCACCAAAAAAAAAGTTTCTCCCTGGCTCAAAACATAAAATGAGATTTTGAGAGATTCTGGGCATGCATAGAAAACATTCAGCAGACCAGGTGCCCAAAGTCTGCTGCTGCTTAAGTGCCTGCAAGCAAGACCTTGAATATTAAACCCTTGGCTTTGATAGAAAGCTTGCTTTGATTGCTATGAAACTGTGGGAACTACAAAGCCACCAGCTTAATAGACATGAAAAGTTCCTCAATGTTCACTTGTACTGTTTGCTGTGAATTACCTGGCTACATCTTTTGTTTAAGCAGCCCTTTGTTTAATGGGTATCTTCTCTGTTTGAACCAATTCTCAAGATGGTTTCTTGCATGGTTTTAGTTGGATTTTTCCTCACATCCACAGACCTTAACCACATGTGGTTGTTCTACCTTGGGCAGGTAGGATAGTTTTAGAATAGCTCATCTTTTGGAGACTGTAAAAAGAAGTCACACTCGCTTCAGAAAGAAGAAAGCGTTGGAGAGATGCCCAGCCGTTGTCTGTGAGGATCAAGGTAACAATCAATAAGCTTTGCATTTGTGTGTTTCTCCATGCACATCTGGCCCTTAATTGTTTGTCAGGCATTTTGGATTTAATTTGCTATAAAAGTGCAGATCATTATTATAAATCTCCTTTATTTTATCTTCCTCCAAAGTCTTTTGAAAAGGATCAAAGTAACCCTCAACACAATAAAAAAGAGAGGAGTGGGGAAACAACTCTCGCACATTAAATCATTGTAAGAGCTCCAAAGTACATACGATTCTTTTGAATTTGACCGTCTAAACTCCTTGCAGAGAACTGAAATTGTTTATCCAATGTAGATATTTGGAACATTTTTATGTGAGGTCAAGAGAAGGACAGCTAGCAGCACATATTGTATTGAACAGTTCTGGTGGTGTATTTGTCTGGTGGTTTTCTGAAAAAGAAAATGCTGAAAAGGAAGTCCAGCGAGTACCAGGATTGTTGATGTCTGTCTTCTTTGTTCCTTACAAATTGAGAAACCTAGAGGTGCACAATCAAATGAGGAGTAGATCTGACCTATAGGTGTACCTCATTTATTTATTTTAAAGCAAAACAATAAATGATTTAAATGCATGAAATTATGAGACAATTTTGGATAGCTTTGGACAATTTTACTATTTAAAAAACTACAGCCCTGAAACAATACAAATACATTTCTGTTTCACTTTTCTCGCTGGCTCATCAGCTATACATTTACAACCTCACTACTATGTGCTAATTGCAAGCACTGTCAATCACAAACATTGGAAGCTCGGCATATCTCTTATCATTAGCTCTGCAATGCAAGAATAGACGACAAGTTAGGGAAATATGGATTTGACTAATAGCCTCTAGGAGAAACAAGGGAGAAATACAAGGTCAACAGCAAAGGGAAGTACAACTTCTTTCAAAAGACCTGTCCAGCTTGCAGTGCAACTTTCCAACCTGACCAAACCCCTAACTTGCAACCCAAACTTGCAACTCTCCTCAGACTTCCAGAAACCTCTCAGGAATATCTCTGAAAGAACAAAGAGGGGAATCTACAGATTACCTCCTGTGTTCATGGCTGGCAGAGTCCTTTGAGCTCAGAATCTTTCTTAAGTCATTTGAGTACTTCGGGCTGTGGAGGTCAACAGAGAATCTCATGGAATGCTTCCCCTCCTTTATATTTCTAATTCCTGTTGTTGGTCCTGCCAAATGGTAACTCTTGTGCCCTGCACTATGGATCCTCCAAAAAAGAATTTCATTTCTAACCTTCTTCATTTGTCCCTTCTTCTGTACTCCCTGTTCTATGTGTGAAAACGTGTGTGAAAATACATAAAGAAGGATTCTCTCAGGCTTGGACATAGCCCTTCAAGGTATTCCTACTAGACCAATATTGAGATTGCTAGTTAGCCCTCATAACAACAGATGGAGTAGGACCTTCCTGACAGGGGCTAGAAAAAAAGACAAAGATAAAGATAAAAGACCCCTGACAGTTAAGTCCAGTCGCGGACGACTCTGAGATTGTGGTACTCATCTCGCTTTACTAGCCAAGGTAACCACCGTTTGTCCGCAGACAGTTTTCCCGGGTCATGTGGCCAGCATGACTAAGCCGCTTCTGGCAAAACCAGAGCAGCACACGGGAACGCCGTTTACCTTCCCACCGGAGCGGTACCTATTTATCTACTTGCACTTTGACATGCTTTCGAACGGCTAGGTTGGCAGGAGCAGGGACCGAGCAATGGGAGCTCACCCCGTTGTGGGGCTTCGAACCACCGCCCTTCAGATCGGCAAGCGCAAGAAGCTCAGTGGCTTAGACCACAGCGCCAACCACATCCCTAGAAAACAGGCAGTCCTCCTATAATTCAAATATCAGTCATATGTGGGGGGGTTTCTGTCCAGAGACACATGGAAGGAAAAGCTACATGTTTGGTTTAGGATTGGCCAACTGCTGTAGAGATCTGGTTGACACAAATGCATGAGACAGGGAAGATTGGGTGGCTTTGAGATTGGTCAGAGTGCTAAAAAATTGCATAGCATTCTGGTTCAAGTAGCTGTAGTGGTCAAACCTCCACTGTTTCTATCTGTTGGAAGTCAATCATTTTCGGCTATGAACCAGTAAGTTATCTAAGAAACAAATGGTCTTCCAGCAGTGTGAAACCAGATTCCTGAAAGGCAGAAGTTTACTCAACACTTCCTGGGAAGTTTGGACAAAACCCGACGTCAACAAAAATCAGTAACAGATTTCCTTGTGAGCCTGTATCTGTTTTCTAACAGGGTAAGATGATGAAGCTGGATATCCACAGGTTCAAAGAAAAGAAAAGAAAATATCTTCAACCTTACTTCCCAATCTGCCTTCACACCAGCAAGATTAATTGATTTTAAAAGTTTTCTGGAATAATCTATTAAAAGGTAGGGCAATCCTCTGCAACACACAACCTCACACAAGTAATTTTGGGTCCAGGAAACTGCTCATGAGCAACTCAGGACAAGTTAAATAGAATTGTTAAGTATAATGCAGTGCAATCATTTATCACTAACCCATGCATAAAGCAAATATAGCATTACCAATACTATGGCAATCCATTACATTTGACACTTTTTGGGGGGAAAAACACTTGCAACCTGAAAGAAGAGAAAATAAAATACAGAGTACCCAGCAACCATCATTAATATGAAATCCTGAGGGCAGGAGACAAAGCATGAATGTGAAAGAAAAAAATTGGTGAAAAGCTACTTGGCATCCTTGTTTGTTATACTTCTGTAATTTTTTGAGTGTGCGTTTTTGTGAGTGTGTTCAATGGGCTGTGCATATTGATGGGACAAGGAGACTTATTTTCCACTTAGGGGTATTTTACAAAGCTACAGTATTTGAATAACACTTGTAATGTAGCAAATATTATGGATAATATGGAAAGATACAAAATATGGACTATCAAATAATATGCAGTTGAGGGGGTGTACAATAGGACCCACAGAGGGGAAGGTGAGAAGTCCAGATATTTCTCCAAATCTCTAAATACGGATATGTAATTTGGATTGTTATATATATATTCATATATTTCCCCTCACATGAGTCTAGTCACTTGGGGTGATTGGAGACATCAGCATCCATCATCTTCCCGATGGCCAATTCTTGTGAAATATACTCAGAGTTGAGTGTTGATTTCATGCTCTTATTTCAGCTCATGGTCATCAGTGAGCGAGTGAGTTTTCCTCAAAACCTCTGGCTATATATACATTATTTACACAATGGGTCCCGCGTTATTGGCTGATTCACTTCCTCCTGGAGCCTGTTTGGGCTGCTCCTGCAGGCCAATCAGGTTGCTGGTTCACTTCCTCCTGGAGCCGGATTGGGCGGCTCCTGCAGACCAATCAAGTTGCTGCCTTCTAGGACCCGACCTGACTATTGTTCTAGGAGCCAAGCTCAGTACATAACACCTTGCAAACCGCCATATGCTTGGGCTGAGCATCTACACCAGGGAGCCTCCTCTACTTGACTCTCCCTGTAGGTTCTTGACTCTCCCTGTAGGTTCTAAATTGCTAAGTGGACAGTAAGACTCACTGAAACCACAAGGAGATGTCATTGGATATGGAGCCGTGGGGACAGAGCCCATGAACATGCTTCTTGTTCATGCAATGGAAAACATGTGAAGGGGGAATACCCATATAGGGCAAAGAATCTAGGACAAATTGTGGTGTATATGTGTCTGTTTAAAAGAAAAAAATATGCATTTTAAAATCTCAAAATATTAATTTTGAAGAGCATTTTCTATCAAAATAAAACAAAAAACCTCTATCTTTAAACTTACACCTTTTTGAGCCAAGAATACCATTGGAACATGCAAGAAGTGTGAAAGATTATTAATTCCACTCCACACATTACTCTGGGTGGTGTAGATCAGGCTGATTCTTATTTAGATTCACAAAGATCACATTCCTGAAGCATTCAGCGTGAAAATTAAAACAATGGTGCCATGTTAAAAATAAATAAAAAAGCTTCAGAAGGAATAACAATTTCCATGCAACCAAATAATGGGTTTTTAAAATAATCAAGTTCTGTGCACCAAACAGAAGCTGTTGCCTGATGAATACCTGCTGCACAAGAACAAAAGCAGGACATAACAAAATTAATTACCTGACATTTCAATTGTGAATGGCTTTTTTGGGGGGGAGGGTTGTTGAGATTTTTCATTTCATTACACATATGAAGAAACACTTCCATCACAAGCACATTTAGATGATTCTTGTTGACATCCCTAATTGGTGTCTTATTGATTAACCCAACTGGGGATGGGGTGGGGGGGAAACCATTCCTGGAAAGATCTGGGTTAGGCTGATTCAAGGATCTTCTTGGCCGTATGAATCTTGCACAAGTTCTTTCTCTTCTCCAGTTCCTGTGCAATATAGTTTGCCATGTAAGAGCCATTATGCCACATGAGAAGTGGCAAGTTAGATTGAAGAAGGTGCAAGGTGCCATTCTTTCGCGCAACAATGGGGGAACCTGTGGCTTTCCAAATATTTCAGGCAAAATCCATCATCCCTGATCACTGGGCATTTTGGTTCATATTCATAGGAGTTGGAGTCCAGCAAAACTATTTGAAATTTGAAATTCAGATTCATAGGAGTTGGAGTCCAGCAAAACTATTTGAAATTTTCAGCTCGTAGTACGCTGAAAGAAAATTACCGCTCCATAAAAAGGAAGGGGAAATGGTGTGGTCGATCGCTGGTTCCCTTTCTGGCCCCGCCCCCCTTGCCCAGGCCTCAATTGTTGAATGTTCTGCAGACGGAGGCTGTTTGTTTCCCCAGTGACATGTGACTGGCTGATTTGATTATCTGTCTGGAAACTATAGAAATGGCTCCCTTTCCTTTCCAAAGAAGCTGTGAGTTGAACCCCATAAAAACAGGATTTTTTCCCTTTGCAAAAGAAGCTGCAAAGCTGTGAGCTGATCCTCACCATAATAATAATAATAATTATTATTATTATTATTATTATTATTTATTTGTACCCCGCCCATCTGGCCAGGTCTCCCCAGCCACTCTGGGCGGCTTCCATAGAAACCGAAAATACAGTAAAATATCACAGATTAAAAACTTCCCTGAACAGGGCTGCCTTAAGATGTCTTCTAAATGTCAGGTAGTTATTTATCGCTTTGACATCTGATGGGAGGGCGTTCCACAGGGCGGGCGCCACTACCGAGAAGACCCTCTGCCTGGTTCCCTGTAGCTTTGCTTCTCGCAATGAGGGAACCGCCAGAAGGCCCTCGGCGCTGGACCTCAGCGTCCGGGCAGAACGATGGGGGTGGAGACGCTCCTTCAGGTATACTGGGCCGAGGCCATTTAGGGCTTTAAAGGTCAACACCAGCACTTTGAACTGTGCTCGGAAACGTACTGGGAGCCAATGTAGGTCTTTCAAGACCGGTGTTATGTGGTCTCGGCGGCCGCCCCCAGTCACCAGTCTAGCTGCCACATTCTGGATTAGTTGTAGTTTCTGAGTCACCTTCAAAGGTAGCCCCACATAGAGCGCATTGCAGTAATTCAAGCGAGAGATAACTAGAGCATGCACCACTCTGGCGAGACAGTCCGTGGGCAGGTAGGGTCTCAGCCTGCGTACCAGGTGGAGTTGGTAGACAGCTGCCCTGGATACAGAATTGACCTGCGCCTCCATGGACAGCTGTGAGTCCAAAATGACTCCCAGGCTGCGCACCTGGTCCTTCAGGGGCACAGTTACCCTATTCAGGACCAGGGAGTCCTCCACACCAGCCCGCCCCCTGTACTTCTGTCTTGTCAGGATTCAACTTCAATCCATTAGCTGCCATCCATCCTCCAACCGCCTCCAGGCACTCACACAGGACCTTCACCGCCTTCACTGGTTCTGATTTGAAAGAGAGGTAGAGCTGGGTATCATCTGCATATTGATGGACACCCAGTCCAAATCCCCTGATGATCTCTCCCAGTGGCTTCATATAGATGTTAAAAAGCATGGGGGAGAGGACGGAACCCTGAGGCACCCCACAAGTGAGGGCCCAGGGGTCTGAACACTCATCCCCACCACCACTTTCTGAACACGGCCCAGGAGGAAGGAGCGAAACCACTGTATAACAGTGCCCCCAGCTCCCAGCCCCTCTAGACGGTCCAGAAGGATGTTATGGTCGATTGTATCAAAGGCCGCTGAGAGATCCAGCAGAACCAGGAAACAACTCTCACCTTTGTCCCTAGCTCGCTGGAGATCATCAACCAGCGCGACCAAGGCAGTTTCAGTCCCATGGTGAGGCCTGAATCCCGATTGGAAGGGATCCAAATGGTCCGCATCCTCCAGGCGTGCCTGGAGTTGTTCAGCAACCACGCGCTCAAAAGATAATAAATGGGGCTTTTTCCCTTTGCAAAAGAAGCTGCACAACTGTGAGTTGATCCCCCCAGAAACGGGGCTTTCCCCCCTTTCCTCCTCTAAAAACTAGGTGTGTCTTATGGTCAGGAGCGAAAAATACGGTATGTGAAATGAGCACTCACACTTTACATTGTGGGTGCCCTTTGCGGGATCGCATGTGGTGCTATAGTTCCCAGGGTGCTTACTGGCAAACAGGGGCTGGCTTGCCTCTCAGTGTTAATTTTGGGAGGTTCACACCCAGCCTCGGTAATCAAATTTCTTGCTGGGAGGTGGGGCCAACCCAATTTATAAATAGGGGGTGGAGCCGACAATAGCCAGGCAGTCGGCTCTGGAGATTCACCCTCCCTACCCTCCCTTTGTTTAATGTTTCTTGTTTGCAGGTTAACTTTTTCTTCCTGTTTAGCTGCTATGGTCTTTGAGTGGTTGCTGTTGAAGGACCGGGATGAAATTTTCCTGCATTGGCAGGTTTTTCTTCCCCGTAGCCATTCGTCACAACTTTGGCGGTTATGGCCTTGGGTGGAATCCTTGAATCTTTTCTTCCCTATTGGGTGGTGGGGGGTTTGAAGTGGTAACTCCCCCCCCCCCCACGAGGACGATTCCAGGGTTCCCTCTTAAAGGGGAGTGTCACTGGCCATACACTGAAAGGTCATCAGTGAACTACCCTGAGATATGCAGAGATATGGGCTTGGCTGCCTGCTACACTTATGTCTTGCAGAGCACCCCCATATCCCATTTACCCTGATGAACCCCAGTTCCCCCCTGGATGGGGGGCTTGGAGGGATACACACCCAAGGCCTAAGCCAAGGTCTTCCTACATTCAGACACCTTAAGGCAATCCATTGAATTAGAGTCACAGGCAAGTCAATGCATAATATACAGTCACCTGTCCACCCCCATACATCCAAATATTTGCTAAACAAGCAGTATCCTGCGTCTTTGTGCATCCTACAAGCTCAGCATAAAGATCAAAGTATTTCTTTGAAGCAGAGCAATACTTTGAAATACATCTTGATGCAACAGAAAGACCAGAGATGAGAGTTA